ATTTTTACAGTATAAAATTAAAATATGTATATCATATAAACAGTTGATGTATAATTATAAAATAATATGTCCAGTCACTTTCACTAAACATGGCACTTGTGATGTTGCAAAAAAAAAAAAAAAAAAAAAAAAAAAAAAAAATATATATATATATATATATATATATTTATATATATATATATATAAATATTATATATAACCAAAAATAAAGACATTTAAAAGCCAAAACATTTTACATGTTCAAGCAGCCATTTAAGGAGCAGGTCATGATCACTGGAGAAGACTTAAAGAGCTCCAGACAGATGGAGGGAGGACTTAAAGTGAGAGGGAAGTGGCAAAAATATGTAAGTGAACTAAAAAAAATAAATCAAATCTGGCCCCAGCAGATTGCAGAGGGAAAGAAAGAGACATGAGGGAAGGAGTGCAAGACAGGAAGAAAGGAAGGAAACAGAAAACATCTGTGCTGGATGTCCCACGGGATGGTACATCCTCATTTATTGAGGGCATCTCAGCCAGACAGCACACAGTTCAGCTCACAGAGGTTCATTCAGACACCCCTGTCTGTTCTTGACTCGTTTGAACAGCTGTTAGCATGTAGCTGTGCTTAAGCATGACTTCTAATGTTGTTTGCCATGCTGGGTTGAAAGTGAAACTCATAAATGGGTCACAGATCTGTTCAAATGTTAAATGCATGTAACGTCTAATGATAGAAAAGTAGAAACTTTTAGCTGTCAAATGTCATGCATACAAACCAATTCTTATATTTGCACTCCCTTGGTAGTATTTACTCAAGTTGTAAAGATGCTGAAAATTAAAACAATTACAGCTGTGGAAAAAAAAATAGTATATTGTAGCGAATTAGCTAAACTTAACTAGACCCTCGATGGAAAATAAAGAAAAGAAGGTATCAGAGATGTGAATGTCTGAGCTGTGCGATTAACCCATTTCGTCTGGGTCTCTGCTTTTTTGGAGGTTTTACTGCTTAGGTCTTTGTCTTGACGTTGCTTTTTTGACTTAACTGAGGGCGTGGCTTTGGACACAAACTTTATAGGGAGGGTTCGCATCCTTCCGCTAGTCCAAGTTGACCAATCAGAAACGAACTTCCCTGAGACACGGTTTTGTGACCCTTTGTTGAAAGTACCAGGGATTTGGATAGGCAATTTGATGCAAACTAAGGCAGAAATGTTCAAGTCTCTTATTGTTAATATGCTGCACTCGTATTAACATAAAATGTAAACAATTGTTCAGTTCACCAAATTAGCTTCAAAACGACTCCAAACGAGAACTGTTTATGAACTTGTTTAGCTTCGGTAGAGTTAAACATTGTATGCAGAAGTAATAAAACCATAATATTAATACAGGAGTAAGGGAAATGTTGCAAAACACTTGATAACACATAAAGAGAGAATAAAGTTTACATTAAAACATCAGTCTTAAGCAAGGAGCTTATAGTAGTCCTGACTAGGTCTCTGTTCAGTGCTGTGGGCACATTCCTTTGGGTCATAAATACCTTGAAATCGTATTAGAACTGACCATCCAGTCTTTCTTGGGCAAAAGTTGGCTCATTTGTTGAATTTATTATTATTATTATTTTTTTTAAATATAATAGCAGACTAACATTTTTCACAAACTCTTAATTAATAAATCAAAGAAATTCCACAGAAACTGAACAATTTTTTTCCAAAAAGGAAAAGATTTCTTGAAATGCTTTTAAAAAAATTGTAAATAAATAATGTTTTACATTTAGCAATTAGTTGAGACTGATCTTGTGATGCTGAAGACTAGAGTACTGGTGACGTGTAGCATAAAAGCTTACAAGTCTGCAAATTTCTGCTGCAAAACCATATTTTATGCTGGTCTAATTGGGGTTTGTGTGCAATTTTTTTGGCATTTTGTTGAACCAATTATTACTTCTAATTTCCATAATTTTTCCACTGAGCTGTGTTATGCATTCATGCTCTTTTCTTTAATATGAAAGTTGAACTCATCCATTAGAAATGGGTTCCACCTAGCTTGGATGATAACATTGTTCATTCTGGAATTCATTGTCATCAGTGTTATCTCTTGTTTCTTACCTTAGCCTGAGAGTTAACCTGCCCCGGACGAAGCTAGTTTCCCAGCATAAGTTGCCAGAGTAACAGAGTTTGAACTATCGTAAATGGGATTTATGAAACAAAATCCGCCATTAATAAACCTCCCTTACCAAAATAATTCCTTAAATGGCTACTGTTGACTTCATTTTATTTTATTGTCACTGAACCATTCGATGTGTTAATAAATAAAAAGTATAATAATGATTCTGAAAATTCAGCTTTGCATCATAAACTAATCGTATGTAAGATATATTGACATAAAAAACTATTATTTTACGATGTAATAATATGATCAGTGACATGCAGCATTGGACAGTGTAGGAATATAAGGAACTCAAATGTTTGAGCAGTAGTGTACAAAAAGAGAATTGAATCTTCTCATAGTAATAGGGCTTTTAGTAAACTCAGTTTTAAGCAGTTCTATTTTAATCAGCCTCTTTTTCTGTCTCTCTGCAGTGTTGCTGAGGTGTTGGAGAAGCACGGTCTCCAGAAGCCCATCTCCTTTGTGAGAAACAGTCAGAACAGCAAAGAGGAAGCTCACCAGCTGATGGTCCGACTCACCCGTCACACAGGACGCAAGTATGACATGCACACACACAGTAGCACAAGCATACACAGTCTCAGCTTGCTTGGCATTTCCCAGAACACTCATATGCACCTGTTCCACTGTTTGTTTTTTTGCTTAGAAACCCTCCTGTGAGTGAGACCGTGTGGAGAAGTTTACTTCAAGATCTCCTGGACATGCAGCAGAATGTGTACACCTGTCTAGAGCCAGAGACTTGCCATCAGGTACTAAATGATACTAAAATATATAATAATTGTGCAGTATCGCACTAGTGAGTGACTGCATATTCATAATAGAAACATTACTTTAAATGTTCACTGGGTAAAGCAAGATCTTTGTCGTAGTGTTGTCAGTGGTTTAGGTTATATGGATTTTTCACTGAAGGTCAGTGCATTTCTTGGTTGCATCTCACAAGGTGTTGTCAGAAGTAGAAATAATGTCCTTGTTGACAGAACAACCTTGTTTCATTCATTTACTGTATTGAAGTATGGTATCACTTTATTTTAATGGTCCCTTTAACGCATTTTGTTGAATTTAAGTTACATTGCATCTACATGCAAACTAATTCTCATTAGATTATAAGAAGATTTTTAGGTTGGGGTTAGGGTTAATGTAAGTTTATGTACTTGCAAAGTTTCTTATAGTCAGTTAAATATCTCTTTGTTTACTGCGCATTTTTGTTTGCTTTCTCATTAAATGGATATTTCACCCATTATTGTCTTTTACTCACCCTTTGCTTGTTTGAAACCTTGGTGAGATTTTTAGATTCTGTTAAATACTAAAGAAGATATTTTAAGAAAAGCTGGAAACCTGTAACCATTGACTTTCATAGCATTTGTTGTCAATGGTTACAGGTTTTCAGCTTACTTCAGAATATACAGTATTATTTTGTGTTCAACATAAGAAAGATACTCATTAAGGTCTGGAACCACTTGAGGGTGAATAATAGTGAGTAATTTGCCTTTTTTTTGGGTGAACTATCCCTTTAAGTTACGTCGGAAGATTAATTACATTATATTCTATACAGTATAATTAAAAATGTGACTTATTTCAGAAAGTATGTTAAAGTAAAATAAGTTTAATTTTATACATTATTTTTATTTTTACTCTGACTGTTGGAACTTGTTTGGCTAGTCACAAAGCTGTTATTGCTGTTATGCTACACCAGGACTGTTTAATTATATCGTCATGGGGGCCAGTTCATGAAAAACACAAAACAGCAATATAAGAGCCCATATGCTGTATTTTTGCTCCTGAAGATGCCCATGTTGGCCTTTTCTACATTAAAACATTAATATGCAGCACTTTGAAACTACATAACATCAGTGCATTGTACAATGTTCCTTTTTTAACAAACATATTAAAATGTTGTATTTCGAAGTACAACAAAACAAAATCAGTGTATTACTTAAGTTGACTTTTTCTACATTCAGACACATTCATATGTTATGTTTTAAACTGCGTAACAATTAAGAATGCAACGATTAAAGATTTTGGTTGTAATATCATAGTCTGAAGAATAATAATGGATTCACAGTTATCACGATTTGTATACATTTATTAAATTCAAAACACTACTAGTTTAGAAAATAACAAGAAAACTACTTTTTAAAATTTTGTTTATTGCTGCTCAGTAACCAAATACAGCACAAAAATTTATTTAAAAAAAACATAGTGTATTTCTCTCTTTGGACTTTGAACGTGTGATAAGTTTACAATGAAAATAAATGACAGAACAATGAATAAATAAAACCAAAATAAGATTAAATAAAGTATTTGTCTAATATTAATTTAAGCAATATATTAGTTAATTTTAATAAACTGTTGTTATTATCTGTGTTCATACATACATAATCATTTTAATAATTTGTAATAATTCGTCTAACGTATCTTTTGTTGACATTGCACTGTAAGCCACGCACAACTCTCACCACTACAGCCTGAGATAATTTCTACTTTGGGCGCCTGGAGGGTGCGAGTGCGTTGTTCTGCTTGCAAGCCATGCGCACACTGCTCCAATATGCACACGTCTCATTGGAAATAATGTACTTGTGTGAACGGCCCGCTGCTATAGTTAATTCAATGTGCGTGTGTATTAGCCTCGGTACAAGCTCGGAACTTTAAACTAGCACACAGTTGGCATATCTTCATAATTATAGCAGCTGTTTTTCGACTGAACTAACTTTATTTTTGATGTCTTGGTCACACTATTTGGAGGGCTGGAACAAATTGCCTCGGACGCCAATTGAATTGCCTTGCGCTACACTATTCAGTTTATTATTCTCCTTACTGTAGCAGTTGTTTTGTTTTGTTGTAGTGTTACAGTGATAGTTCAACTTGACTTTTTTTACCCTTTCCTTTTTTCCTCACAGCACCAATGTTATCTATCCTTTCGTTGTCGTCTATTGTAGCACAGCCTGGTTTTCCTTTGTGTTAGCGTATGTCCGTGCATCCGAATGTGTGAGAGACTCAAACTGAACATTATTCCGATGTCAACAGCGGGCTTTGTCTGTATGCTCTGTAATTTAGCAGCATTCTCTAACGAGCCTGCATTCCCATCTTTATCGATTTCTTCATCACAATCAAGCAGAGCTGAACTTGCCATCAGGAGTTCATCCTCAATGCTGCACCGCTCGTCTAAAAACAACAACCGAAAAAAAAAATCAACAAAAGAGAATTATCCTTCAACCTGTACTCGTTTCCAATTGCTCTTACCCAGTTCCTGTCAGTACGGGCTCCAGCAAAGTATTTTTCTCCAGGCTACGGAAAGACGATCCCAGATGAGCAGTAAATTGAAAGTTCTGAGAGGAAAATGAAAGAAGTTGGATGTAGTTTTAAGGAATTGGCATTCTCTCCATTCGCCCTCTGCGTCTGGGTCCATTTGACGGAGTGCAGCAGAGTTGCTTTGAAATCTCTTCAATAGCTAAACAGCTAATGAACTTGCGCAGACCTCGGCGAGTAGCTCTAAACTCCGCTTCTCTTCTGTGGGTGTGCATTAGGAATGGCTCATTGGCTTGCAGACTGAGCAGAGGCGGATATTTCATTTGTGTGGTGTTGGAAGTTAACTGGTTTATAGTTATAGGTGCAATGTGCACTGCAGATATTGGATCCTCTAATGCAGACAGATTAAAGCACTTGCAGATTATATTTCTAAAGACCATATGAAACTCCAAGAGCCTCAGATAATGACATTGAGATTTTGTGACCAAACACCAACTGCAAGTTATTTCTATAGATATTTATTTTTATATAGTTAAAAAGAGACACTTTCAAATTTTCTGGACAAGAAATGCTGCATTTTTTTTTTATTTATACTAATTTATACTAAAAACAAAATACCTACATTTATTAAAATTCATATAAGAAAATATAAAAATGTATATAAAAAGTGTAAAACTGTAATAAATATTTACTTTTACATTGTTAAGCATTATTGCATTTATTATTTTATTGTTTTAAATATTTCATTTTTTTTTTAATTTTGATTATTTAACATGTTTATATGCCTGAAATCCCATTTAATAAGGCTCAAAACATAAAAACACTAAAATTAAGGTGAAAACTGGAAATAAGAAAATTAAAATGCATTCAAACTACTAATAATTACTACATATCCACATAACAAATGTTAAATCAGATGTCTGCCAGAAGCATCCAGCAGTAGTCTCTCTCACAGTTTAAAGGGGTTGTCCACAGTGTATTTTTAAGGCTTGGTTGTGTTTATAAGAAGCAAAACAATGTATGCTTATGCTTTACTTGTAGAGAATCATGTTATTTTTTTCATATATCTCACTTTGATTATATTCAGCTACTCAGCTAACATGAAAATCATTGTCATATTTTCTAGTTCCTCTGACAATGCTCGCCCTCAAGAGGCTCTGATTGGTCCGCTAACATAATGTGCTGTGATTTGTAGATTTGGCTCCATGTCACTCCCCTACAAGCATGCGCTTTTGCGTTGTGTAAACATTCCAGTCAGAGTAGTTGTTAGCAGTGTTAGCTGCCTGAATCAGAAAGAAATGAAGAGCACACAGCTGAACCTCACGCCTGCTCACTAAAATAAAATCTGACAAGTGTGTGAAGGTAATTCACGTAACCGGAAGCCTCAGGGATCTTACTAGCCTGGATGTATTTTTTGTGGTCCCCAAATTCGGTCGCTGTAGGCTTTGCTTGGATTACTCTATAAAAGCCAATGTCTCCCTTTGCATTAAACTTTAAGTGTATTACATTCAGAGTTTGTTCATACAGCTACATTACACATCAACTAAATTTTAAAATATGATATTGTAGTTGACCACCCCTTTCAACGAAAATGAGATCTTAACATTACCACACAAAAAATAGCGGGTAGCGAATTTATTTGTGTGTGTGTAAATGGCAGAATGGATCAAGGCAGAATGACCTAGTTCTGTCTTTTATTTATTAAAGCTTATTATTTTATTTTTACAACGTTTTAATAAGTGAACTTTTATGAAGAGCAGCACAACACAGCTGATGTCTTACTCCATCTAAATGTATCTGAAGGCAGCACTGAAATTACCCACAGCATCACAGCTGTTGCGCAGAGCTGCTCCTGAGATTGCGTTGTCATTAAATTCTCAGTTTTTGATATTTCTCCTGTAGTGATTCTGTCTCATCGGCCATAGACTAAAGACAGCTGATTAATTGCCACACCTTAGCTCTTCTTCCTCTGGGTCTGTGCTACATTCTGCTTATTCTCTTTCTCTGTCTTTCTCAACCACTTTCTTAATGTGAATTGATACTGTTTAAGTGTTAGTTCACCTTAAGCATGTAAATTATGTTATTAATTAATTACTCATCCTCATTTCGCTCCAGTCCCTTGAGACCTTTGTCCATCTTCAAACACAACTTAAGATATTCTTTGGGATCTGTTAAAGACCTATTAATTTGGATCTTTTCAACCATGATCCATTTCCTAATTGGTATTATGGATTATTGTCAAGGGATTTTTTTAAAAGCCAAATATTTAATTGAATTGAGAACAGATGTTGCAGCTGGAAAGAGTGTTATAACAATTGTGTTCAGATTTTCAAAAAGAAAGTTCTGGATAAATGATTTGTTGCATCATGGCATAAGGTATTACAATTAGAAAACAATGAAAATTTAGGTTAGAGAAGCCATGGTCTTTAGCCTCCTTGTTAGAGCAACCGACTCCCAGACTAAGAACCGCCGGTTCGATCCCAGCTCAGACCAGGTTTGGTGCAGTAGGTCCGGTGCATTACTCTTGGGGGCTCATCCGGGATTGGAGTAAGGTTTGGGGGGATAAAGTCTAACAGAGGCTAGCTAGCGAAGTCCTCTGACCTCAAAAGGTGCTCTAGTGACAGACGCTATAGAGGCCATGGACTTTAGCCACCTTGCTAGAGCAACCAGCAACCAACTCTCATACAAATAATTGCCGATTCGATCCCAGATCAGACCGGGTTGGGTGCAGCAAAACTGGTGGGTTAAACACCTGGGGGCTCGTCCGGGATGGGAGTGAGGTTTAGGTTGGTGAATGTAACAGAGACCAGCTAGCAAAGTGCTATGCCGGTAAACCTCACTCCTCTGATGTCAAAAGGTGCTCTAGCGACAGATGCTAGAGACCAATGTCTTATCCTCCTTGTTAGAGCAACCGACTCCCATAAAAAAAATTGCTGGTTCAATCCTAGCTCAGACCAGGTTGGGTGAATTAGGACCGGTGGGTTACACATGGGGCCTTGTCCGGGATGCGTCTGTCGCTAGAGCACCTATTGACATCAGATGAGTGAGGTTTACCTGCATAGCACTTCGCTAGCTGGACATTTGGATTTTGTGCTAACTTAACCCTTTGTTTACAGATTTAAAAGGGATAGTTCACCTGAAACTGTAAACTCATTACTCACACTTCATGTGATAATACCCTACTGTGGAAGTCAATGACTACTGGTTTATAACATTCTTGAAAATATCGTCTTTTGTGTTCAACAATAGAAAAAGGACATTATAAAGATTTGAAGATGAGTAGATAGAGAGTACACTTTGAATTTTGGGTTAACTATCTTTGTAACTTGCCTTTAAAAATGTTTTAATGAGAGTTAGTTGTTAAGTTTTATTCTACTGTAGGTCACATACTAAAAAAAATAATTTATCATTTTAAGATATTCCTTTGGATCTGTTAAACCCTTATCCGTTCGCTAATTTGTATCTTGCATTATTGTCAAGGGATTTTTTTTAAAGCCAAATATTTAATTATAATGAGAACAGATGTTGCATCTGGAAAAGAGTGATTTTTGAGTGACATTTGTGTTCAGACTTTTAAAAAGAAAACTCTGGATAAATGAATTAACATCATGGCATAAGGTACTAAAATTAGACAACAATGAAAATTTATGGTATATGTTTTGGGGGATTTACAGTGGAAACTGTTGCAAGTATAGTAGCCATTGCTGTGAATTCCTTCGTTTCTGGGATTAATCCTAATGTTGGTCTTTCTGTTTACAAAGAGATCTTTCATATGGTTGGGTTTTGTGCAAATCTGAAACCTTTGTTCACATAGTAAAAGTGATAGTTCACCCAAAGATGTCAATTCTGTCATCATTTACTCAATCTTCATTGTTGAAAACAAAAGATGTTCTTTTAACAAAATCTTTGACTTTCATAGCATGTGTTTTTCTTACTATGAAAGTCATTGGTTACCAGTATCTAACATTCTTGAAAACATCTTCTTTTGTGTTTAACAATAGAAAAAAGACCTTATTAAGATTTAAAGGGTGAGTAAATAGGGAAAGCATTTTCAGTTTTGGGTGAACTATTCCTTTAACTTGCCTTTTTAATTGTTTAAATGAGAGTTTTTCTTCTAAACATTTTCTCAGAGCCAATGTTAGTTTTGATTGTTTTTTTCTAGGTCTCACACACACACACACACACACACACACACACACACACACACACACACACACACACACACACATACACACACAAAAAAGTACTTTGTTACATAGAAAGAAAAAAATAATTAAAGTGTATGGCACTTTAAAGTGTATGGTTTTGTAATTCTATAAAATCTTGAATTTTATAAGTCTAACTATTAAAACAGTGAATGACCTTTAACAATCTGAATTCATTTAATGTTTCAAAGGAGTTTTATAAAAAATATTCTGTGATTAATTTTTTTTTTTTCAGAATTAAGAATATGTCGATGCTTGATTAAGTTTTACTTGTATGAATGGTGTAGTAGAATAATAAAGGTGTTTGCAAATGTGTCTCTCATCTGCACAGGTGTTTGTAGAGAGCCTGTTGTGTTCGAGCCGAGAGGAGAATGTGCGTCTGGCGGGTCAGTTGATGCACTGCAGTGGTGTTTCAGAGGACACTCCGGTCAGCGTGTCGCTCCGGGGTAAAGCTCACGCTCGTGTGTCTTACAGCCGAAGTGTGGAGCTGGTTCTGGCGGCCGCTCGTGAATACTTCAACTCTTCAGCCACCCTCAGTGACCCCTGCATGAGTCTGGCACGGTATGATGATCTGTTACACTCCGATTTGTTTAGAGATTTGCCGTGTAAAACCCACCAAAACACTACACTAAGATACTACTGTGGTTCTCTATTTGTCTTTGTTCATTTGTGCATCAATATTCTTCTTCTTCTTCTTCTTCTTCTTCTTCTTCTTCTTCTTCTTCTTCTTCTTCTTCTTCTTCTTCTTCTTCTTCTTCTTCTTCTTCTTCTTCTTCTTCTTCTTCTTCTTCTTCTTCTTCTTCTTCTTCTTCTTCTTCTTCTTCTTCTTCTTCTTCTTCTTCTTCTTCTTCTTCTTCTTCTTCTTCTTATTATTATTATTATTATTATCAATAATAATAATAATAATAATAATAGTAATAATAATAATAGTAATAATAATATAAGCATTGTCGAAAGTGTTCAATCATACAAATACCTTGGCACAATTATTGAGTCTAAACTCACCTTTGATGAGAATTGTGAAACTGTGTGTAAACAGGGACACCAGTGACTATTCCATTTGAGAAAGTTAAATAATTTCCAGATTGATAAACACATGATGATTTTATTTCACCATGATTTTCTTGAATCCATTTTATCTTTTAGTTTTTGTGTCATGGTTTGGGAACCTTTCTGTTCAGAATAAAATTACACTAAATCAAATAGTTAGGTAGTCCTGTAGGCTGACTGGGATTTCAATAGCCAATCTGGAAACTGTGTACAGTTTTAAGTGACACTGCTCATCCCCTACAGTCAGAGCTTCAGCTTGTTCCTTCTGGTCATAGATTTTTTGAGACACTGCTTGCT